ATATGAAAATGTTTCATCTTTATTATTTTTGTCTATATTGACCAGCCCCTTACTATTGCTCAGCTGATGTGTCGTGAAGTAGGTTTTCCACAGGAACAAACTCTGACAACACAGCACACTTCCTTCCTAAAGTAACTCAGAAGTTGAATTCGAATCTCAACTTATCGTAGGAATCATGTATCTCTAAATGCATATAAAGAGAGATAGAGGGAGCGTGAAACACAAGCAGTTGCATTTGTGTTTCTAAATATATTCCTGAACTGCATATCCCTGTTATTCACTCTTTGTTTGCTCCTCTTTGAGGAGCTGCCTGCTCGGTTAAAAAAAAACAAAAAACCCACACATCTCCACGTACCATTTTTTGCTGTCGTCACCCGCTCGCCTCCTGTTTCGAATCCACCAGCCAGATGTTGCCGATTGACTCAAAGCTCTGAAAATGATGCTCGCTGCATGGACGCGCCGTTCACTGTGAAGGGCTTTCACATTTCTGTGGGCAGTACCCCCACCAGCATACTTTCTGTATGACTGCGTGGCCATGTGACCAAAATCTTTTCCTCCCCTCCCTCTTTTTTTCTTTTCATCACTGTGCTGACTGACTGGGTCCGTTAAATCAGAGAACATACTGTGTCCCTTGTTTAACTTCGCCCGAGAGTTAAGTGCAGTACTGGGGCTGTGCTGTGCCTCCTGGGATGAAAAAGCTTCTATAATGACTTTAAATGTGTACGTTTTAGTTATATGTACTTATTGTATTTATTCTGCAGACAAATGTGGAGGTAGATACTTCATTACCTCCAGCGGTGAGTTATGTTTTCACCCGTGTCAGTTGGTTGTGTGATTCTAAGCAAGATGAAAACTACCAAACAGTTGACCTCGAAACTCGTTGGAAGGATGTGGTTTTGGGCGGGGCGGAACCGATACAATTTTGGTGAAGGAATTTCTTTTTCACTTACCATTAATGGATCTTGATTAAAAAAATAAAACATATTGAGGTGACTTATATATAATAGTGAAATTTGGTGCAGTTTGGTTGAATTTAAGGAGACTGTTAGACGTTGGATGGGATTTGTGCTCTACTGACTGACAGTCTAGTTTCATGCTGTTATGAAATAGATTATATTGTATTTTCTTTTTCCCTTGTTTTTCCAGAAAAGTTTCTGTCTCATCAAAAATCCAAATTTATTTCTTCGATTCAAAAGTCAACTCACTTGTGTTTTTCAAACTTCTGACAGGAAACTAAATGAGCAGGTGGTTATTTTTAACCAAGCTTGACTGTAAACTAAGCGTGTGGTTCAGACGCTGCGCTGTAGACATGAATGCATGTGAGGAGCTCTTTGTCACTGAAGGTGCAGGATAATGTTGAGCTGCAGCACAACAGGAAGTGATCAAATCACAAAATGCATTTAGCTTTCATTTGTCTTGTAGCGCCACAAAATATCACATTAACTAAAAACAGAAAATTATATAAATAGAAAACTGTCAGGAAATGGCTGTTAATGTACACAAAAAGTGAAATCATTGTTTCAACTTCTCTTATCATTCATTCAAGGCTATTTATGGATGATTGAGAATAGTTTTATACAAACACTGACTATAATAAGGGTCTAAAAAGGAAGCTCTGCTAATGTAGATAACTAACTTTGTTTTTGCTCTGGTATGACAGATTTTGGATCCACCCAGTCTCCCTGAGCCGACACGTGAGCTGGAGGGTGAGGAGGACCTGAGTCCCGAAGAGAAGCGGGTGCTGGAGAGGAAGATGAAAAAGATCCTGAAAAAGGATGAGAAGAAGAGGCTGAAAGCTGAGGGAGAGACCGAGAAGAAAAGTGAAGCACCTGGACCCACGGCTCCTCAGCAAGCTTTAGATTACCTCACCTGGTAAGAGCCACTCTCATTTGGTAGCGGACAGATGACTCCACATGTTGGCCTTCTGCTTTTATGTTGTCACTTCATACATCAGAAATGATGTCCAAACCCTCCCCGTATCTCTGTCCTCATAAGGAAGGAAGTAAATGGCTGAAAAACAATAAACAGGCATTTAACCCATTGTTTGTATCCAAACGACCAAAAAGAAAGATCCATCAAGTATTCCTGCTAAATTGGTGAAAACAAAATGAAAACCAAATCCTGGATCTGAAATTAAATTAAATGTGTGCTTTATTGGCCCATGTCCTTTTCTTCCACCAAGTTTCAAGAAAGTCTGTTTCATCATTTTTGTATAATCACACAAACAAATGGACAGACGGGTGAAAACGTAACCTCCTTGGTGGAGGTAATAAATCATACTTTGGTGTTAGTCGTGAGGCTGGAACTCTTCGGTTGTTGTTGAGGCTGCACTTTGTAGTTATGGGTGGTGAGTTTAATTATATCTTTGAGGAAAACCACCAATTTCACACCTGTTGAGTCCACTGGTCATAAGGAGCACGACTTAGTCTGAGAAAAACACCCCTGGTGTGGTTATCAGGCTCATCTCAGCTTGAGGCTGAAAATCTAGAACAAAGTGTTTGTGTTGCAGACTCAGGGTGTTGTTTGTGTTTCATCAGATGGGCAGGGAAGTGTAGTATCTAGTGTTTTTGAGATTTTCCTATATATGGGATCCTCTTGATTTAGAAATCTGAATAAATAGAAAAACAGCTTTAGGGTAATACTATATACTATTTGCATAAGCAGCATAAGGTTTAGAAATGTAGTGTTTGTCAATAGTGATGTTATTATCCACCCCTGTACACGCAATGACGGCTTTTTGCAGCTGTTCACTGCTGAAATGCTGCAGCCCACACCTACTGCACACTCTGGTCTTGTATTTGCAGCTGGGCTGAGAAGCGAGCAGAGTGGAAGTTCCAGAAGACCAGGCAGACGTGGCTACTGCAGCAAATGTTCGACTCCAACAAGGTAATATTCAGCAGTGTGGTTGTTTCTTGAAGGGGAATTCTTCTCAGCTCAAGTTTTAGAGTGAAGGAAGTGTTGACTTCTTACTCTCAATCAGCTTTTGAGTTAAATCAACTCTTTAATCTTTATTTTCCAGCACGGTTTGAACAGTTTTTCTTTGTATTTTGTGCAATACATTGTGAAAAGGTACTAAAAGTAAATTTCAGTGTTCCGAACCCATTTTTACCAATTTTTTTTGTCATCTTTG